ACATAATTTGCTTATGGAGAGCTGTCCTCCAGCAAATCTCATTAAAGTCCTGGAGACAGATTTCAGAAGGTTTCCATCTCTGACCAGAGGCTTTTGGTCAAGCTTCCAGTAAAACAAGAGTTTCCACAGTTAAAGCACAGCAATATCCCTCCCCTTGGAATGCAGAAGGTTCCTGCACAAGGGAGGCAATGTGGACACACAAATTTACACTGACCATGGCAAAAGATGTACAAAATCCAGGGCCACAGGGATCCACAGTCACAGAAATTTAAATAGTCACATAAAACCAAAAGGCTACACTTTTTTTTTGTTTTTTTTTTAATAGAGAAGGAGTTTTTGCAGTTGGATATGCACATCAGAAAGCCAAAAGTTGCAAGTTAAGGCACTGTGAATCTCCAGTTGTGGTCCTTATTCCAGAAACAGGGACTGAACTTCACCTGGCTGGGATTTCCACCCCCTCCTTGTCCCTACAAAGCCAGGGAGTGACTCAGTACAATCCTCTTACTTGCACTTCCTGAAAAGTTACACAAATCACACATTCACATAATCACTACAAGCATCAAAATAAACATCTTTTGGTTTCAACTATGACATATTAAAAAAGTACTGGTTTAAACAGAGTTAGAAACTACATGTCTGCAATTGATTGGAAAATGAAAACAGGGAGGTAGGGAATACAAAAAAATACAGAAAGGAAAGGATGGAGGGAGTTGGATGGTCCATGAACTTTATCATTAGGGGATATTCCACTTTCTCTTAAAAGCCAATTTTCCCTAACCCAGCAAAATTAAGCCCTCATCACAGCTGTGAGCACAGACTGACCCTTACCTTGGGTCACAAGCACCCAAAGCTTGTGGCAAAATGCTCAGCTGCTCCAGGGAAGGCAAGATTTATCATCTGCAATAAAAGTATTGCCATAAACAGAGCCCAAGAGAGAAGAACACCCTGTCAGGGCTCAGGCACCTGTCCTGGGGGTGGAAGATCACCCCACTGGAGGGAGGACTGGGCTGCAGTCAGTGCCTGGAACGTGCTCTGAGCCTGAGCTGTTTCCTATGTGCTGCAGCCCAGCTGACTGTGAAATCTGGTAAGCAGCAGTGACTAGGAACTTCTATATACAGGCCTGCCCTGCAAAATTTAATTTCTGATCTTATTTCAAAGCTATACAGTCCTGGTTCAATGGTTTTATCTTCCTCCCTTATGAAAAAAGAAGTTATTCGGAATTCTGGGTCTGGATTTTTATTTTGAGTATCTTCCATATATAATGCAGCCTTTTGATGGTGTTATTTTATAAAAGAAAAGGTATCCCAGCAGCACTGCCAAGACCAAGAGAAATGGAACCTAAGAGCGAAATAAAAAAACAGCAACAACTAGGCTGGAAAAAACAAACTCTCTGGAGGAACTGGTTTGGTTATGTGAGCAAGGGGAAAACAGGAGCCTTAGCAGGGGACAGCCCAGTGGTGCTGGAGGCAGGACCAGCACGGGCTCTCTGTGCAGTATTGATCATTTCTTCAATCTCAGGGGATTGGGCAGTGCCATCAGAGAGATGCAGTGGCTGGCAGAGCAGGACTGGTGCTGCCCTGGGGTGACACAGGTGACAGCTCTGCAAACACCAGCGTGGGACGGGGCAGCGAGGGGTGCTGAGCTAACAGAGCCACTCTGGAGCCTGGCAGCACACAGAGCTGGAGCCTGCTCCTGTGGGCAGCCCTTCACACACAAACACTGACCCACCCAAAGCACCAAAGGCAGGGCTGGTCGCTGCTTTGTCCATCCTGCAGGGTCAGACCAATCTCAGAACTGTTCAGGGTGCAGAAGATCTCCAAGACTGAGTGATCCCCACTTTGTCACCCAGCCCAGAGCACCGAGTGCCTCACCCAGGTGTTCCCTGGACACCTCCAGGGATGGGGACTCTACACCTCCCTGGGCAGCCCCTTCCAACGTTCCACAATGAAACTGTTCCACGAGGAATTCTCCCTGGAGTGGAGCCTGGGCCTCCCCTGGCACAGCTTTCTGTGCTCTGGCAGGAGGGAGAGCCTCAGCTCTGGGGCTCACAGCACTCCATGGTGCTGCCAGTGCACGGAGCCTGCACAGCCTTCAGGTGTTAACTTAATTTGAGCCTCTGCCTTTCATCTATAAAAACAGTGAAGGAAAGGAGCAAGCATGACTAGTGACAATTTGGCTGGACTCTTCTGGTCTCCCTTTTCAAGGCTGAAAAGGCATCCACAAAAAAATAAACAACAAAAAAAACCCTACGTTCCAGGATCAGATCTTCTCTTTAAAAATTGACTGTTGGGCAACGTGATTCAAGAAGTCCGATAAAAATCAAAAAATTTAAAAACATTGATCTGCAGAAAAAAATAATTTCAGATAGAAATCGATACTCATTGATTTTTTCATTCTTCTAACTAAAGATAAAATATGGTTATGGCTTCAAACTATATCCCAATATCCCCATTCACAGCAATTCTGCTGGGCATAAAAAACCCAGAGCATTGGTCTGGTACCAAACTGTAACAGCAATCATCAAGCTAAAATAATCACAATAAAGCATGTGCCAAAGAGGCCTGGAAAAGCTCCAGACTGACAGTGGGTTACTCACAAAAGGAAAGACCCCGAGCCCACATCCTGGAACATGCATAAACCCCCAACAAGAAAATCCTAAACCTCTCAAACCAAGCCCCAGCCCTCGGTGCAATTTTGATGTGAATGATCCCGATTAGCCCCCAAGCCAGGGATGCTGTTAGCCCAGGGATGCTGCAGGCAGAGCTGGCAAAGCCCAGCTGAGGAAAGGGCTGAGGCACAAAGCAGGTCAGCTGGGCTTCAGGCAGAGCTGTGGCTTTTTTGGCAGCTGTTTCAGAAAAGTGCTGCAGAGCTGTTGCACTGCAACACAATTCTGGGAAACAGAAATGAAATTAAAGACTCCAGCAATCACTTAAATTTCTGTGCCATTCTGAGCTCTTTTGCTGTTAATAAAGAGGTAGCATTTCCTATCCATGGACAGCATTTATCAGTGCCAGGACACACTGCTACCTGCTCCCCACAGCCCCTGCTTGCTAGTTCAAAAAGCTGATTTTGAAGCCCTGGAAAAAATACATAAAACAAGACACAGAGGTACCTCTGTATATCAAATCCATAAATAAGTTAACTGGCCACATATGACCTGTTATTATATCAATTAAAGTAATTTTCATGTATATCAAAATGGCCAGTAAGGCCAAAATAGCCATGGCTAATGCTGAATAATCCAGGTCCTAGATGGGTAAGCAAAACCAAAAAAGCCAGGAGAATTCTGGCAGAATTATCAGCTTTGCCAAGTGGAGAATAAAAAAAAAAAAAGTTGGCTTCCAGGGACAGACTAATGCCAGAAGACAAAGCACCACCACTGTGCTGTGATAATTGTGAGTGTAGAAAACAGCAAGGCTGTCTCAGTGAGGGAGGAAGAAAGGAGGCAGAATTCACAGCTAAAGCCTGGAAGGGGAAGATATTCTTCCCTTCAGAGCTTGACAGAAACTGCTTGGGATATGATAGATTGAAACCCACTCCATGACTCCAGCATGGAGACTCTACTTAGGTAAGTGCCACTTTAAATTCCTTAAAATAAATCACAGGCTTTACTAGTTCCTTTAAGAGGTTAGGCTAGTGAATGTTATTTCAGAGAAAAAGAAAAAAAAAAAAACCTCATGGTATTTTCTCTAAAAAACATCCATGCAAGTCAAGTGCTCCTCCAGAGGCAGAAACGCAAAGGCCACCCATTATTTCATAAACAATTTTGTGTAAATGTTTTGTTTGTTTTAAAAACAGCACAGCACCTCAAAAGTCAAATTAGCTATTCAGGGGTCATTTTCATCTCACTTTTGACTTTTTACCTGGCTGCTCCATCTTGAAAAGCCATTATTAAATTGCCAAATTAAATGTACAGCAATTAGAAATTGCAGTAGGCAAACTAAAATCTGAGCTTGCAGCCCTCCCCCTACAGAGCTCCATTATCAACTCCAACAAGTGCTGCATGAATTTAAGACAAAAATATAAAAAGTCACTTTTTCCTACTATGGTTTTGATTCCAGGGTTATTAAACAGGGATACCAAAGGAAATACAATTTTTCCCTCTCCCAGTTCTGCACTTAATCCCCTTTTCACCACCACCTAGTTATAGAGAAAGGAAAAATATTTATTAAAAAATCACCAAACAGTAAAATGGGCCAATAGAGTTGATTTAAATTGTGCAGAATGCTATTTGAGGGCAAAGCATGTTGTGCCTGAGTTTAAAGAGGAAAAGATGCAGTTACCAGGAATTATTCTGCTTCCATTTCCATGCAGCTTTTCAAAAACAGCTTTTGCTGCTTTCTCACAGGCTAGAACAGCCTTGTCCCACACAAGTGCACTTCTTCAGTCCAGACTGTGGGACAGCTACTTGTCAGGAACAGTACCTGCCAGTGATTAATGACCACTCATTTTCAGGTGTTCAATGCTTTTATTTTGTGTTGTCAGTGCAACTTTACCACCACAGCCACCACCATATGTGCAACAGCTTTCACAAGACAAATCATACAAATATACAATATACAACAGATCAAAACATTATTCTTACACTTTCCACAGCCATGAAACTTACACACCATAAAGTCAGACAGAAGAAATACAACTATTACAAATATGTGACCACTAGAGGCAAAGCAGCTTCGTTTTGCAAAATCTGAGAAACTCAACTTATTTTAAACATTATCCCCCTCTAATGACCCTGTGCCCAGTGTTTACCTGAGTTGTGATGGCAGTGGTTCAGTGCTTCAGCAAGAACCAGGTGTTTAAGTGTTCAGTGCAAGCCCCCAGAGATACACAACGTGCCTTTAGTCACAGCATGCTTTTTCACAAACTTCCTCTACTCACATCCAAGCTGCTCCCTGCACTACAGTACTTCTCTCCTATGCTTTCCTAATCAACTAAAGCAACATCTTGTCATCTATCAGTAGCATAAACCTAAAGAGAAACATGAAATTTGAACAGTTTGAGCAACTGACTCAACTCTCCGAGAGAGGATAACACAGAACAGTACTAACAAGAGCTGGCAAACAAGAAATGAGAAGCCAAGAAGGAGCCTCCAGCTCCCAGATTTACATTCCCTGAGGTGCATCAGGAGGTGCAGGGTTAGGGGAGGCTATGTAGCCCACCTGGGGCGGTGCTCCTGAGCTCCCAGCCTTAGCCACAGGTGGGGAGTTTCCATGGGGAGGATTTACTGGATGCCAGGTCCCAATGTAGCGGTAGGCAGGAACCACAGAGTCAAAGCCAGGCAGAGGCTGCTGGCTGAAGGGGTCTGACACCACTGGGTAATACACCGGCCCATAGGACAGGGGTGGAGGCTCTGTGTTTTGGAAGTTACCTTAAAAAAAACAGAACAAAAAGCACATTCACACTTCAGCCACACTGATGGCCTTTTGATGCATGCTTTCGTGAGCACGAGCACAGCATTGCTCAAATACAAACCATTCGCTGATGCCTCCAAGGGAACCTGGTGGACCTCAGCTTGCCCAGCATCAGGGAAGAGCTGAGGCACTGACTGATCCAGGACAGGAGCTGGCTCAGCATATGCTGGGTAAACTTCCACTGGAGATGGAGGCAGCACTGGCTGCACGTACATCATGGAAGGCCAGCAGCTCTGATGGCAATACTTGCAGGAAAGGAAAAACATGGTCACAGCCACACCCTCTCCAGCCCTCCTCCAAACCACTGCTACCTTCAGATCTAAAGTTAGGAAAAAGTGAATTTTTTTTCCTCTCTAGCCCTTTAAGACATTAAAAGCAAACAAAAAAACCCATCAAACCAACACAGCCTACAAGGAAAGATATCTGCAGCAGCAGCCACACTGCTGTTGTGTCAAAGTCTTTACAAAGAAAGAAGATTCCGACTTATCTTTGTCATACTCAGAGATTTTCCCCATTTCTTCAGTTGAAGCAGCTCACATTGCTCTTTCTACCTCCCTGAGCAGCAGCACTGACACTGTACTTAACTGCTACAGAGAATGCTTCAGCAGAGCAGATTTCCAGAACACAGAGAAATGGTACTAAGCAGTCTGAGCTCAGCTGCACAAGTCCTAGGAGACTCCATCCAAACATCTCTAAGTGGTCTTTGATGTCTTACCCAAGTACACAAATTCTCTTAAGAATGGCTCAAGTTCTTATCTTCATGGAAAGGATATTTATCCACCATCAAAATACAAAGAAAAAACCCCCCAAACCAAAGAAACCTGAAAGTAAAACTAAAATACCACCACTACAACCCACAGTAAAACATTTAATATGGTGTACTTCACATTTTGAGGTAGATCTTCACTTCCTGAGCTAGACTTTATTCTCCACCAAGAAACTCTATCCATATTAATAGTCCAGTACACAGAATACACACTTAGGACACTTGAAAGGCTTGAATACATCAGTACATTTGTCAGGAAAACCAGCAGTTTTTACAGGCAATTTACTATACTCATTTTAAAAGCACTTACTTGCAATCCCATATTAAAATAATACCGCAAGACCTTTGTATCTGAAATTAAAGGATAGGACATTAAAGAGCAGAGGAATAAACACCAAGAAGAAAAAGCAACTTACATTAAGAATATTTTATTTGAAGTTATTCTTACTTAATGAATAACAGTATTTCAGCACTACCTTGTCTTTAAAATTTCAAGGGTAAAGAATGTATCTTGAATATAAATAGTTGTTAAACTACTTTTATCTTTTAAATTAAATCCAGTTAGATGTTTGTGCAATGGCAGAGCATTCATCTGGCCAATGAATTATTTAATTAAATTACTACCTTAGCTTTAATTTTGGTTTATTCATCCGATTACTCAAGTGATAACTCAGTTTTTTTACAAAATGATAAAAAAAAATATCTAAGCAGCTAGGACTTAACACAGAGCTTCTCACCACATTTTTGGGTCCCCAAGCTGTTATATTAAGCTCAGTGGAGTCAGGAATAAGGAATATATTCCTATATCACAAGGGTACTCAGTTCCCTGCTTTCTTGTGGAGTCTTTTACATCTGTCTTCCCTGTACTGAATGATTTGTCCCCAGCCAAATAAGTGATATGCTGAGAAACAGTCCCAGGTGTGTGAAGGGACTTTGAAACCTCTCTCCAAAAGCAACAGGGTTTTGAACTCAGAAACACATTTCCAACTGGCCAAAAGCTGTGAAACAGCTTTAAACCTTTAAAGATGAACCACTCAAAGGGGGGCGGGGGAAAAAAAAAAAAAAGACGGTGTTTAATCCCATGATGCAGTTCTGGAACTGAGCATGAGAAAAGCTGATTTCTTAGATTTCAATACAGATTTGCTTTGAAGGAAGAGCAAGTGACCTATTCCACAGCACAAACTTTGAGCTCCCAGCTGTACTAAAGCCAAGGGAAAGCAGGGAGACAACTCAAAAGGAATTGTCTAGGGATTCAACTCAGTAACACCTGCAGAGCTACCGTGTTCCATCTTCACAAGCACCCACCCTGCCCTAGACCAGGCTCCAGAGTGCTTCCCTGCCCACCCATCTCCCACACTTCCCCAGCCCTGCCCTCTGTGGCACTTTTGTGTTGCATTTTGCTGCAGGAAGTCAAAAGCATCAGCAAACCACACCAATTTTAAAATGCACATGGATTTATTCCTCTGTCACTGCTGCCAATTCTCAATTCTTTTACTGCTCAGCCCATCTACCAGGGCAACAATCTATGCAGCTGTTTTAGGAAATGCACACAGATCCATCCTTACTTAGTTCTGGGAGTATTGGTGGTCTGGCTGTAACACTGACCACAGTCAGTGAAAGTAAAAATAACTCAAAGGCTTACTCAAGTACAAACTTTTTAGTGACTAGCTGAAATTCAATCTACATCTGGAAAAGGTTGGGTGTCTTTTTAAAAACCCAATTTTGTTCTTCAATTGTTTATGCAAATCTATGCAAAGCAAGCATAAGAGCTGAATGAAACAGCTGCTTCCATAGCAGCAGGAACAGTACAAAGAACTGAAGCAACAAACCAACACTGGAAACACTGACACCTGTGGAACGATGGAAAAGAAGCCAGTACAGTAGGAGACCAGTTTTTGTTTAGAGTGCTCTTTTAGATGTTAGGAAATCAAGTCCATCTTCAATAAAACTTGTTGCTTATAAAGCAACAGCTAAGCCAAAAAAAGTTATTCATTCTGATCTGAAAATATAAAGACCACATTGGTGCCTGGTAAAAATCTCATCTTGTGGTAGAGTTTTTACTGTGCTGTTGGGAAGCTCTGGCCAGTGCTCAACACGGTCTTTCTGGAACACAGCAATTTCAATCAGGCTTTTATCAACAGCTCCTTCAAATACAAGGCATCAGGCAAGGGCAGGACACCTGAGCTTAATAAATACACTTAACAAGTCCTAAATGCCATTAAAACAAGATACAAGATGCTATGAAAACTGGAATAAACGTAGATACAAGTAATGCTAGAGCCCACAGCTGGATTTCCTCCCAGGTCCAGGACTTCAGTCTGCTGACAAGTTCTGCTCCCCATCTACTGTCTTTAGCAAAGCACACAGAACTCCAGATCAAGCACACCCACATTCTTCACCCTGCCAAATTCCAAACCTGCTGGTTTTCTTAATTTAAAGGCCATATAGATTATACTCCAGCAGTGTAACATAAATGCTACATGCACTATTGTTAACTGGCAGCCTTTAAAATTCCTACAGCCTGTGCCAAGAAGGACAGGACCAATTTGATGTGGATTGACTCAGCTGTAGAGCTCAAGGCAAGGTCTGGAGAGGTTATTAATCCACATCTACTCCAGATTCTTGTCAGCACACTTCACAGTCCATTCTTCCAAGTGGGGAAAGCCACAGTTAAGGGTATTCAACTAAAGCTGGAAAGCAGCAACTCTGTGCATGGGATCAGTGATGCACTACAGCAGGGAAGGGAACCAGAACAGCCAAGATTAACAAATCTTGGATTTGAGGGACCAGGTGAGCCAGCAGAGTAACTGCAGAGCACAGCAGTGTGAAAGCAGCAGGCCTGGTCTGTGCACTCACTGCTCAATGTGGACCTTGGACACTGTCCCAGCTGATGGCAGTGTGTGACAAAGCTACACACCAAGGAACAAGCTGACCCTACACTTCAGCCCTGGTTTGCAATACCACATAATTACAGCTTGGAACCATAAAGGAAAACTACCAAAATATACCAGTGAACTGTGCAACAGCATAACTTATAAATACACAACTCTTATTTTAATCAGTTATCAGAAAAGTGATTACTCTGCCACACACAAGCATGATACAGGCCAAGCACCCTCTCCCTAGGCTTTCATTTATTTAAGGTCCTGTCTAGAGCTGCAATAATCGTATATTTGAGTCAGACACAAAATTTCTGTTCAAAGCTGGGAATGAAAATGTTTTAGCATAAGTATCTATAATATTATTTCTCATTCCCTGCAAGTGGCAGAGAGCCATTACTTTTCACTGTGTATTCTCACTTGGTGCTCTGTTAAGCTCCCAAGGAGAGCACAAGTCAGAAGTGTGCTGGAGAGCAGCAGGAGTAAAAATACAAAACACAATCATTACCTCGAGGTAAATCACTGCCGCTGGGATCACAAGAGTAAGCTGGAAGAACAGCACTGGCTTCTCCCACCTCACTCACAGGGGGAAGAGGAGCTGGATAGATTGGGAATGGCACTGAAGAAACTGCTACAATTGAAAGGAAACAATTGTCACCCAAAAAGTCAACTTTGCCATGGTACATCAAATGTGTAAGGTATTAATAAGGCATTATTAAGGCTCTAACAAAATTCTATCCAGCAGTCACTTTGAAAGAAGAAATCACTAGTACAGAAGAAATTTTAAAACTAGATGGGAAGGTTTCAATCTCTCAAGCCTTAACTGCACTTTTATCTGCAAGCAGTATATCCCAGTTAAAGGGAAAAAAAGTATTTTTCAATAACTTCTTCATATTAAAAGGCAGGCCAGACTTCTAGGACAGTTATGTAAGAAAACAAAAGGGATCAGATTAATAAGTTAAAGTTCTCAAAAGTGTGACAGTAAGCCCACAAAAACAAGGGAAGATTTGAAACACATCAGGACAAAAGTATTCTGGGCATTCAACTGTTAATTATCCTTTTAGGTGGCCCACAGCTCTAACACAGCAGCAGGTTGGCACCAGTGAGCAGACAGCTTTGAGAACCGTGCTGACTAAACTCTCATGCAGAGCAGAAAAAAAAAGATAAAAGTGAGACAAAACTGAGCAGAATGGAAGGTGGAGATTTTTTAGATGCTAAATAAAAAGTTATAGAAGACAAGAGAAATGCTCTTTGCAAGAAGGAAAACAGATTTTTTCCTAACTGCCATTTTCCAAGAGCAAAGCGGGTAGAGCATCTAAGGTGGAGAGTGCACCCTGTAACTGCCCACAGATCCGATCTCCTTACAGAGGAAACCAAGGGTCACAAAAATAAACTGGAACACCCCAGCCAGTGACTTTCCTGGAAGTGATAGTGTTCTAGAGGCTTTTCCTCAAGTCAAGAGGAAAATTAGCTATAGGAAAGGGGAGGTGAAGGGAGCCACACTCAAGTTCTGTCTTCTGAAAAGAATTTTCTAGCAAACACTTGGCATTAATAGTTAAAGGTGGCAAGGGGGGAGCCCGAAGCAGAGACCTCCAATTCCCACAAAAATTCAGGGGCAACAGCCCCTTCAAAACAAGAAGCCAGCAGCCAAGTTACAACTATGTAACTTTAAACCAAAGCAAGTGACAGTTTTTTTAAAAGCCTATAAACACTTGTTTTGGATGAGGGAGAGAAAGGGAGGGGAAAATGTAACTGCAAACTTGGAAACCCAAGTCCACAGCTGCAGTCTGTGCACTCTACCTGGCCTCCCCACAGAAAAGGGAGATACTATGACAGGCTGCACTGCTGTTTGTGGGGGAGGCGCTGTTATGACACTGGCTGGAGTGGAGGCAGCAGAATTTGAAGAGAGACCTGTAGCTGGAGCAGTGTAAACATCTGTGGAGGTGGAAACTGTTGCAGAGTTCACCAACACCTGGAAGAGAGTCAAGAGTCTGCCTCTGCAATTGGCTTTGACAAAGACTATGAAAAATACCACATACTTCAAAAATTCTCACTTCACACAAATCCATCTTGTAAATCCTAGCTGTAAAGGCACTAACTATCCAAACTCTAAAAATTGGCTTGAAAATTCCAGTTTAGAGTTGCAGACACCTGCAAGGCATCTTCTGTTTTGCTTGTATTTGCAGGGAATTGCATTCTCTGCTGCCAGAGGCTGTGAGGGGTCCCCAGAAACTGTCAGAGTGGTTATCTCTCTACAGGGCCACCACAATGAAACGTGAGATACAGTTCAGAGTACCAGACACTACCTTCTGGGGATAGCTGTAGGAAGTCACTTCATCTTGATGTGACACCGGGACTGGCCCTTCCTCCTGAAGGGATTCCAAAGCAAAGCATGGTCCATTTCAGTGGCAAAAAAGCCACAAGGCATATACACCATGCCCCTATTTTTATTTTTCAATTTATTTACTGCACACCCAGTAGCAGTAGCTCAATTAAACACAGTTTTATTGTGGCATGCTCGGGATTGCTTTCACACCCACTGTGGAGCAGCAGGTGACTAAGTATTTAGTTTCAAATTCAAAAAAATAAAAATTCCAATCTAAGTTCTACCACAGATGAGATCTCTCCAGTCCCAACAAGGAGGGCTAAGATTAACTGGAATATAACCTGAAGAGTGGCCTTATAAAAGCAAGTGTTGTCTGAAGCAGAGAAGGAAAAGTGAACAGCACTCAAATACACACACTCCCTTTGCAGAGGGAAAGGTGGAAACTCATTAATGTATCCAGCACAATTCAGACTGTACTTGCAGACTCAGATTAAAACCTCACCATTCAGGCAGGAAAAGGATACTGAATATATAAAGCAATGCTGATTTCATTTCTTTTATTAAGTCTCTAGCCAACCATGCACCTAAGGACAGTTTCCATGAATGCCACACACCTCAAAGATCTCAAATCTGAACAGTCTGTGAGTAAAACTTACCAAGTTTGCTGTAGGTTCTGCTGAACTAAACACTGTTGCAGTTTCACAGCTGGGATCTGGAGGAATAGGCAAAATTAATTGAAAAGAGCTGCATTAAATCTAATCCTTCAGAAACAAAAAGCTCATAATTGAGTGTATTACATTCACCAAATATTGTATCAGTAAAGACTTAAACTTTTACCTACCTGAAGGCACATAAATATATTCCTCATGAAATTTCCCTAAAAGGGAAAGAGAACAGAAGTTTTGATTCAGGGGGAAAAAAAAGGGGAAGGCAAAAAAGCTTAAAGCTGGAGTTACTTCAATTACATTTCAGTGCATCCATTAATGACCTGCTTTCAGTATTATCTCACTTTGTGGTTTTTAGGACATCTAAGGAACCTACTTTTGACAATGAAAAGCACATTGACAATCTCTTAAACATTTTTTTTTGCCTATTAATCCTTTAGGAACTCACCATTTTCACTTGCTTCTTCCTCTTCGGCACTCAGGGTCTGCTTGTTAGATGGAACAGGGTTTGGACTTCTTGCTACCCAAAATGCTCCTGGACCATGGACAATGGGAGCAGGGCTATGGTTGCTCTGAAAAGCAAAGTCAGAGACAGACATTTAAAACTAATTTAAAATCTTTCTACACTCTAGAGACAGAAACACAGAAACAGGCTGGCAGACCCAGCTTGCTGCAACCAAAGCTTACTAGAAGCATCATGTGTGCCCATTCCAATGCAACAAACATTCCCTTCCTTTTCCTGCTGTTCTGCCTTGCACACTTAAGGCAATTCAGATGCTTCACCACTGTCCTATGTCACACAGTCAAGCTGCTCCCTCCCAGAACTCAGCCAGCTTTAATCCCAAGCTCCGTCAAAGCTGCAAAGGAGGGAGCAGATCCCAACAAGGCTGCTACCCCCAGCATGCATCAATGCTCATTCTAGAGCATTCCCCCCACACCAGCAGCAGATCAGTTCATCCAAACACTGATCACTCATGGAGAAAGATCATCTTCAGTCACAACCAGTGGAACCAGACAACACTGCTGGCACAGACAGCAGTGTCTGCATTAGGCTGACCCACACATGCAGCCCTGGCTGTTTCAGAGAGCAGCATACCCCCAGGTTGCCCACAGCACTCCTTCAGTTTTTTACATGCCCTTTGCTGCTGCACTGAAAACAATCTTTGGCTGCACCCCAATTTAAAAGATTAGTTCTCTGAAGGAGGAATATAGGATTGAGATGCTCAAGTAAAAAGTTGATTCACTCTTGTGATGGCTAAGGTGACACTCAAAAACTCTCCTCAGAAGACAATGGTGACCATGAGATCGATAAAGTGCTCAGAGAAGCTTGAAAGATTTCCAAGGTTGAAGCAGAGGTGGTAAGTCAGAAGATTCTCCCACCAGGCCTCTAGCAGCATGGCAGAGTCCTCTGTGAGATGCATCTTTCCCCAGGAAATGTCACATTCCTTTACTAAACAAGGAAGAGACAGAGAAAAAGCTTTGGCATTGACAATAACAAAGTCACTGAATGAACATGAAAACCTATTCATTAGGAGCTACAGGCAAGTCTAGCAAAGGGGGAGAAAAAGCCACCGAGCTGTATTGATTTCATGTTGGAAAAAAGAAATTGCAGGATAACGTGTCCTTAATCCTTGGCATTCTTGGAGGAAAAATCAGAGCAAAGATCTAGTACATCAGAGCAAAGAAAAAACAACTGGTGCTGAAACAGCCCTAAGCATATTCTTGCTCCCTCATTTAAATATGAGTCTAACAATAGTTCAGTTCACTGCTTCAGCACAGCAAAAAATTCAAATATACCTGGTTGCTTTTGGGGTTTGTTTAATCTGTTTTCCTGTTCAGATACCTGTGTATAAATTGATTTTTTTTATCACTCTCAGCTTTGGACTAGGTTTAGACTACAGATAAAAAAAAAAAAAAAAAGGCATTTTTAAGTTTAGGAATACACTTTGCCACTTTACAACTCTACAAAAAGACTGCTTTAAGTCTAGGTTTGCAATTTTTTCCTGTTTCTGTAGCAGAACAAACTGTGTCAAGAACACGTTAATCCAAAACATCACAACTACAAATTCATAGGAAAAAAAAAAAAAAAAAAAAAAAACCCAGGCTATCACTATCCAGTTTCTGAATCTTNAATTTTTTCCTGTTTCTGTAGCAGAACAAACTGTGTCAAAAAAAAAAAAAAAAAAAAAAAAAAAACAACAAATTCAAAAAAAAAAAAAAAAAAAAAAAAACAAACCCAGGCTATCACTATCCAGTTTCTGAATCTTGCTACCTAAATGATAAATTATAGCGTGGCAAACAAGTGAAAAGCTTTTTCCCCCCAATATTTAGAGCTAGGCAGACAGAGCACAGGAGGAAAAAACTTTTGTTTTCAAACTGCAATAGAAAGGAGAAACATGATTATGTTTATGAAAATATGCTTAAAAGAAAACAAGTGTTGCTACTGAGGATACAAAGAAGGGAATATCTAGGAAAACTGAGGCTTCCAGCAGGTTTTACAGGAACTGGACAAATTTCAGTGTTCCTTTGTCAAAAATGCATTCACTGCTAAACCTTACTCCAAGAATACCTAAACATACAGCAGGTTCTTTTGGTTAAGAATCACTGTGCATTTAGTTTCCCCCTCTTCCTCTCTCTCTGAGAGGCTTCAGCTTACCCTTGGTTCATAACTCACAGGCAGAGCAGGAAAAGCAGTGTCATCTGCTTCAATTTCACAGAGGGTTACAGTTTCTTCTGGGCCCTGGGGCTCCTCTGCAGCCCCTGCCACGAAGCCGTACTGGCACTCCTTGTTCACACAGGGCAGCGGGCGGCGGCTGCGGCTGTACGAGCTGGGGAGCAAGGGAGGAGGTGAGCAAAGAGGAGGTGAGCACCACCACCACCTGCACTGCTGCTCAGTTTTAACTCGGTTCTTTCTGCAGAGCCACCAAGAAACGTGCTCTTTCACACTCTGCTGCAAACAGGCAAGTCATGCCCAGCATCCTACCACCCAGTGCCTGCTGGAGCAATTTTTGGTGGAAAAGGTTTGCTGTCACTCACCAGGTCAAGTTGTGGTAACTCTGACAGCCTCTCTTCCCTGGGCTGGGGTAGAATGCTATCTGAGGGACAAGCATGTTTTGCCTCTCTATAAATCAGGCAGATCCCCTGAGTTTAAAGGGGGGAAAGTGCAACTACCAGAAGGGCCTCTCAGCTGTAGTTTTGCCTAAGAGGTGAAACTCTCTCCTAACCAGTCTACAGCAAATGTTTACAGGAAACAAGTGGTCAGCTCAGGTTTTCAAAGCTTCCTACCTCGGCATCCCGGAGTCCCGGTGCTGCCTGGGAGGGTTCTGCTGGTGGTAGGGTTTGTAGGGTGCCATGCCTGCCCCTCCCTGGGAGCAGTGGATGGGAGGGAAGCGCCCCGAGGGAGCACCATGCTGCAGCCGGGGTGGCAGCACCGGCTGTCCCCTGCTGTAAGTCACAGCCATGAACACTTCCTTCCCACGGACTTTCTTGAGCATCCTCTTCCGTGTTTTTATATCCATTTCTGCAGTTTCCATTGAGGACAGAAAAGAGATTTACACCTTAAACCTGAGCTATGGTCTCAAATGATAAAGAGAATAACTAATATCCAAGCCCACAGAGAAGAAAGCCAGTGGCCTATTCAGAAAAAGTGCATTGTAAATATGGAAAGTACAGACCCTTCTTTAAAAGAATCAAGTAGGAATTCTACGTGATACAAGCATCTGACATAGGGCGTACCTTCCCAGCTTCAGCTGATCCAACCAGCATTCAGTGTTAAAACCTCTCTATGCATTTATTCACAATAGCAAAAGCCCTCACAACTCCTCTAAATTAAACTGAACACACATTTAAGCGAGTGTCTGGTCCATCCATGCATCTCTGCTAATGCCAGGTCAGACAAGCTCTCTGGTTCACTGACATGTCTTTTAGATGGTTCTCAAGTGGTAAAGCTGTTCCCAGCAATTTTGAGCAATACCAAAATTCCTCTGTAATTCAATAGATTTGCTCTCTTTCAAAGTCAAATTCATCCCTGCCTGGAAGATAGCTTTCCATCAAACCCCTGCAGTGACCAAGTTTTACATCACAGGGTGAATTGAGTCCATTCCAATATCCAAAACCTGCTACAGTTACAACTCTCGTGAGCAACTCCCCTACTTCCCCAGGGAAGAAAAGCTTCTGGAAGCCTTGTACAAACCTATTCCTGAGAAGTGTCCACCTGTTAATTTCTGATAAGCTCCTCCTCTTCTGTTGTGAGCCATACTCCAAGCAAGGACAGGAGCCACTTGCGACACTGGCTTTAAGTTTGCCAAAGGAACTGTGTGCCTGCAGGAAGGACACTCATGTTAGCAGTGCCCCAGGGATACACTCTGCACAACAACATAAGCTGAAGCAACACCAAGACGTAGGAAATAGCTTGTGAAAATAAAAAAATCTGTTTCTCTGGCACCAAGCACACATAACTGCTACTTGTTTAATAAGAAAATACAAGCTAGGCTTTAGTTTAAATACTATTTACTTTGCAGGTCAAGTCTCTCTCCCCTGCCTGTATTTGTGTGCCTCCAGAACTACATCTAAAAGCAGGGGACAACACTGAATTTTTGCAGGATGTTGTCAATCCCAGATTTGGAGGAGGAGGAATGATTGAACAGCAAGGGGGAGAAAGGGATTAGATTTACCAGAAGTGCCAATTATTTTGTTGCTTGGGTACAACACAAAAACTCCAGAGAAACCCAACAGCAGAAGGCAATTTGCTCTCTGTGAATTAAGCCCAAACTCTAAAGATCACTTTTATATTCCAGTGAAGGAAGAGCAGCAAGATTTCACAGAAAGCATTACAACAACGATTTTGGTCATTAGAAATCCAAGAATAAAACTAAAACCCTCAACCAGAAAGAGTTTAAACATGAAGTCACCACCAGACTGCTTACTTTTCTGCCAGCTCCTCAACAAATACAGTCAATGTGTTGCTATCCTGTCCAACTTCCTGGATGTGAGCATTGTAATACTTCTCTCCTGATTCCAGACGCACCTGGAGAGAGAACAAGGGAAGCTCTGAAAAAACTTCAACTGCATCAGAATATTGTCTACAAACCACTAATAGCAAAGGCTGCTCCCAGCCAGTCCTGTGTTACTGAGCCTGCCCAGGAGTCTCAAATACTTCTTCAAAACGGCAACCAAAATAAAGAGCGCTGTACTAACTTCAGAAAGGATAAGAAGAAATAAAATCAGTCTTGTGTGCAACTGAGAGGCAAGATACCAGCTCCCTAACTTATTTTTGTCCCCTGTGCCCAGCAGATAAGAGCCAAGGAAGACTGCTGCTTAAGAACTTGAGGAGAACAGAAGATAAAGTAGGAAAAGGAAAGCTCTGCTCAGTGAAAAACAAGTCACTGAGAGAATCAATAGCACTACCCTCAAGATTGATAAAAAAAGATACACCATCACTACAAAGAAAATTTATCTTACTTTCAGCATCGCCTGTCCAGATTATTCTACTCCTCCATTTTTAGCTCCTCCCTTTTCATTTTATAAAAATATTTTGCTACTTCACCGTTGAGAAAGATAAGACTATCCAGAATTGTTACTTAGCACAAGTGAAAAATCCAAAGACAACTACAACAAAAGCACCCCCTGTGCATTTTGAGCTCTGCCTGGAACTTCCACAGTCAGGGAATGTGGATGACTGGCTTACATGGAATCCCCAAAACTGCTCTTCTGTCAGACTACCAAGTTTAAAGGTAGATTTCAGAAAGAAATTACATTTAAAAGAACATCTACAGGGAAGAGAATGAGAAAAGCCTTAGAAAAATACTATGAAGTCAAATAACTTCATTGTTTATCAGAGTCCATTTAAAGTAGTTTTAACAGTTTATCGTGACTGAGTCTCCTTTGAGTACTAACCTGACACTTATCTCCTAAATAGTACTGTCTCCCAGCAAACACCATGTAGTCAGTTTTTTGAAGCTCTAAAAAGAAATGAATAAATGAATAAACAGGGGGGAAAAAAGCCTTTCAGCTCCTGTTCTTTCTTCACATATCCTGCAAGTACTTCATGATAGCAGCCAACTACAATTTATAGGCCAATTGAGTTAAATACATCCTGTGCATACCTGAATACTCCCCATAGTAGCAGTGGAGTAATTCAAGGTGCTCTTACAACAGACCATAACCAGGCTAAGTCACATGAGACCAGCAACAGCCAGATAATGCAGCAAGCACAACTGCTACAACACTGCAGCTTCTGTGATGGCCCAGAGCTAATCCTGCATCTAATACAAACCCTAAAATTAAGAATGTTGGACATCTCTTATCTTACCAGAGTCCCAATGGCACTTGGCAAACATGAAATGTCATCCAGGAAAAGCTAACATTGCCTAAAGTATTCTTGCTGTTAGATTTCAGCTTTTTTTACGTCTGTTCCTTGCCTGGCTTCTCTGCACGTCAGTATTCTACACAGATAATTGGTTACCACACTCTGTTCCAAGAATTTTAATGATCCTCATTACTGATTATGCCGTGGTGAAATGCTGGAGTTCTTCAGCATGCAAAGCACTTTGGGTCAGACATCAAGTATCACTTAAAAACTTATCTTTCTTGGTAAATTCTTGCTTTACAGATCAGCTGCAGTGAATGCCAAAAAGCAGCCAACCTTTCCCAAGCCATGAGAACCATGAAATTCCTGCAGAATGTTCAAGCCCAGGAGGGCTGGGAGGCAGGAGAAAAACTCATCTGACAGATCTCAAATGCTAAATTTGAGAACTTCATTTTTATACAATCCTGAGGCCAAAATCGTGCTCTAAAAAGAAGTCTTTGCACACATGCTGCAACAAAAAACTCACATTTGAATGCTTTCCAATACAACAGAATGGCAACAGAGTTCTGTGCTCTGCTTTGAATCCTCCTATTTCCTGCGTATAGTCAATGAGTTGCAGAGATCAGATTTTTAGCAACCTTGTACCATTATAGAGTATCAGAAGCTGGGTATTTTGTACTTTGAAGCCAGACAGGAAACCAAGAACATATTCTACCTACAGTTATTTGCTGGGTTCACCTGGGTCCTTCACATTGCAGCTGTGAAGAAACAGTTGACAGGACTCAAGATTCATAAATTTAATGATAACCATACTACAGGAAGAGTTTTTTGGCTTTTCCCTTTCCAAAAGATACCTTTTCTACTGTCCAGCCAAACATCAAACTCCACATTTCGATAGATGGTAGAGTCCAGTGCCTTTAGCACTTTATAAGGAACAGGCATCTTTGGAGGATTTTCTGGAGGCTAAAAACAAAATGGGAATGGAGCATTAACAAGCACATTTAACTTGTTCAGCACAGTCTCTATTCTGCCAGCATCTGTGCACCATTTAAAAAAGCACAGATGCTATTTTCCAAAATTTTCACTTCCACTATATTTCCCTAAACACTGAAACTCAAGAGTATGAAAACAGATCCAGGCACTCAGGTGCTAAGCAGATAGACTCTGGAAAGCAGAACAGGCTCAAGAGCAACACTTGGCATTGCTCTGTACTCAAAATGAATCAAAGGAAGCCAACCAGACCAATGATACCACAGCTTCAAAACTAAGTAAAAATTTCAGTTATCGTATCTGAAAACTCTGCACAGTTTCTAGAAGTACTCTGAAGCAATTTATACTATGGTCAAGACAAAAGAGAACTAATTTAAGCCACATTCTGGAAAAAAAAACAAATTGGGAAACATCTGCTAAGCTCTATCTTTCGGGGGAAATAAAAATCAGCTAGAGAAGGACTAGAGAATTTCAGAAAGTAAAAGAGCCATTTCCAGCTTAAGAGAAACTCAAGGGCAGAACCAAAAGACAGGTAGAAGAAATAAGCCACCCACACTAACCAAAAATACATTTTTAGAAAGTGGTAAAGAGGATTTAGCCCTAACAAGGGTTACATCATACAACAGAAAAAAACCCCCAAAAGCAAACCATAAGAAACTTTCCCTGAACTGCCAAACCTTTTGCTCTTCAATGCCTTGTTTGAACTTGGTTTCCTGTGGATTGTCAGTATCGTTGCCTTCCCAGTCGCCCAGTCTAAAAAATTGAAAATAAAATTACAAAAGCTACAACACACAATCTCTAGCCAGGATTAATATCACCAACTTTCAGACAACCTGTAAAAGCACCATGGTGCCATCAAGTGGCACATTTTGCCATAAACACCAGCAAGGTGCAATGCAGTGCAGGACCAGCCTTTTCCAAGCTTTAAGAACTTGACCTTTGCTTGTTCCAATACCCATCCCTAATGAGGGCTACTGCTTGCATTAGGAAAGGATGCAGGTGATCTCACTGACTAAATTCTTGCACTGTCAAGGACAAAAAGACACTCTGTGCCAGGTACCATCAAACCAATGCTGTCTGCAAGCATTCATAGGCAGCTCTCAAGTCCCTCATTAAAAGAATAGTAAGAAAGCTCTAATAAATAAGGAGCAACTTTACTTACAAATAAGGTGTCATTTTACAGGGTAACACACAACTATAACACAGCCTGCAGCAGAGGACAGTCTATTATGTGGCACTTCCCAGCTCCAAGGAAAGCACGCTCTTCAACGATACACTTGAGCTTTGTGCTTGTCATAACAGGAAAATAATAGTTAACATTACATAAAAATTCATAGAAACTTGGAAAAGTTGTCCTCTGCAAGGTTTTTTTTTTTTTTTGCTTCCCTCTTACCAGATCCCCTGCCCAGCATACTACCTCTTTTCTGATGGATTTCTGGGCACTTTTTCATGGAGACAACCAAAGTTTGCATCCTCGCTTCCTACAGGAGCACTATTTCTGTTCTTCTTGGATCCACTTCGAAACACCTCAACTGCAGACCTTAATTCTTCCTCATCCATGCCAAACACATCTTTGTAGAGGATCTCATATAATACAGCTGAACAAACCAACACAAAGCTCAGTAATATGAGATCTGTAAGAACTGCAGTTTTCAAGGCAAGCAAATCTTCAGATATTATCTATTGTTACAAGGCAGTAGTAACATCAAATGCAGTTAAGGACAGGATCATAAAGTAACTCAGTTGGGAATAAGGGACCTCTAGAAGTAAATTGGACCAAAACCCACTTAACAGGTTAAAAAATGAGTCTATGCATAAAAATATGCCAGAAGTGAGCTTCCATCTCTCTTCTCCCCACCCCTGAAAAATGAAACAAACCCTGCCTCTAAACATGAAAACATACAATTCTTTTCCACAGAAAAATTATTTCAAGTTTACCCTGGCAAATGGCAGCATTTTCCTGAAATTGTTTTGTATACACAGAGTCATAATGGCCGTTACCGGAACAACACAGTAAAATCTGGGGAAATTAAAAAAAAAAAAGTTTTAAGGCTGGAATGATGTAATCCCATCAATTATGATGAAGTCAGTAAATTCTGATATCCTTTCATTCTATGCTTGACATCAATTCACCAAGAAAACAGTAAATAGTCTCAAGATAAACATGAAAAAGCTGTAGCATCAGCTCAAAACTGAAATTTAGGTAAAGTCTCTAAGTAACTTTATATCATACAAAGAAAAAAACCATCTGTACATCCTGCTGCATTGAACATGAAATAAAGAGTTTGTTTCCAAGACCACCATTTACTCAGAAGGCAAAATAAATGTGACCCATTGAATGCAGCACCCCGAGACACACTATCCCCAGTGTCAAAGGCACATTTCATCCTTCTTTGCCTGCAAGACTAGAAGAGCATTTACTTCTCTAGCCCTTAAAACCTTGCTTTTAAGAAGCAGAAGAGATGCTTTCTGCAACACATGCATTGACATATCATGTAAATACATGCCACCAAACTTCTGGGAATACAACCACAGCCAACTACAACGGGCAGAAGTGTTGAAGCAGCTGTCAGCAACAATGCTTCCCAAAAAACCAGCTCCCAGAAGGAGCCCAGATGCCAGGATTCTTAATTCTGGGTGCTCTGTGGATTCTGCCAACACAAGCTCTCCTCTTGTGGTGAGGAGGAGCAACACCAGAAGGAACTGCTGCCCAAACTCACAGTGTAATGCCAGACAGCTGCCAACACTTAATGAGAGTTCTGGTGGGAAAGCCTTGAGCATTTAGACCACGCTGTTTGATTTTTAAACTCAGCTAATTTTGGAATTAAATTAGGCTACACAGGAAACAGTGTAGATGAAGAAAGAAGCAGATGTAATGAAGACAGCAATGCTCATCAACAGATCAGTAACAGCTGCAGCAGCATGGGTTCAGAGCAGACTGGCAAATCTAACTGCCCACACTGAAATCCACACCACAGCAGCTTCACCAGCATCATGCCTGAAGCAGCCACATAATTGTGCACCCACATCTACACAGCTCCAGAAAGCACCAGAGAGGTCAGATGCAAGTTAATACACAGTATTTGTCCTTTATGCTCCTTCCTTTTGCCCCCAGCAGTAGTTCTGATGTAGCTAAGCTGTTCCAGTAACTCCCATTTTGAACTGAGACCAGTTTGTAGGTCACAAAAACCAGCCTTGTTACAGTCATCTCTTCCCATTAACTTCCCCTTTTCAGGTAAAAAATTGCACAACACATCCAGCTTCAGGAAAAGTAAGGAAACAGACTGGCAGGGGAACAGAAGGAAATTGCCCTCACTTCGACTAACCTTGTCTTCAAAGCCATTGTCTGTAGCACGTGTGGGTGGCTTCCCGGGGTACCGGTACACAATGAAGTCTCGCCTAGGTAAGCAGAGGGAAAACAAGACTTGCAAGAGAACACTTTCACTAGAACCACGTTGTGAAGAAATTTACAGGGAGCAGCTTAGAGCTGTTGGTTTACAGAAAAATCAAGCATTAATCTCCCCAATAAATGAATGCTACCATCAAGCAATAGCCAAATGAGCAAACCTATCTTGAGGGGAAAACAAAAATTATCTGTGACCATGATGTTAACTCACAGATTAAGTCAAGTACTTATACTTACAGAAGGGTTCTCAGACACTGAGACTATTCAGTCCAAGTGATTTAGGCATCCTGCAAATGGACTAGAACCTCAGTGCAGGGAGCTAGTAATTCCTGAAAAAGTTCAGGTGATCCTTTAGTACTGGGACAGAGCGAGCCTGCAAAAGGAGGCTTCATTTCCTACCACTAGAGAGCCAGACTGCTTTTTACAGGTGGCAACATTTAATTAGCTTAATTCAGCAAGACAGCAGCACCTGCACAGTTCTGTGTTACCTCTGAAATAAACAGCAGTGTTTACACACGAGGTAGGGCAGGTACTTCTCACTCCTGGAGCTTTCAAGAACACCTACATGAGTTTTAGTCATGCTTGTAACTACCACACAGTGTTTCCACTACACACAGCTCCTTGTTTTCCCCCATTCTCCAGTCTTCAGACTCTTGAAGCAAACACTTGACATTCAAGTTTAGTAAAAAAAATAACAAATAAGCATCTCTGGAAAATGACCCTGCCCTTAATCCCCATTAGAACAGGGTCTGTGATGGCACCATTTACACATCAGTTAAGAAAGGTTTTAGGGAAGCATTTCTCATCCCGTTTCACACTTTACCTCTCAGTGGCAAACACACAGAAAGTTCTCGGGCCAGAATCCCCACACCAAGTGTAAAACGAAGCAAACCTTAAGAAAGAGATACTTACTTGTACATCATTGATAAAGCACTTATTTCCAGCTGGCCAGCACTTTCCTACGCAATATTATGAGATTATGTGAGATAGCAGAAGCATCTAAACAGCAACAACCATATGCTACATTTCTGTTGTGTTAAAATTCTGTACCATTAAAATACCTGTTCAAAACCATCACTTTGTTAAAGCAATAATGCACTGAAAGCTGAGATGCAAGGATTTGGGGGAGAGCGAGGCAAAAGGAGTCTGCTACATGGGGTGGCCACAACCACCAAAATTAGTAAGACTGAATTGCTGCCAGAGTTGCTCCAACACATCACTTCAGATACATTTTTTTAAACCCATATTTGTTTCAGAAACGGCTGCATTCACCAAGGTTACTGGTTAAAGACTAAAGAAATAGAAATTTGACCAGTAAAGTAGAAGCGGGGGATTGTAAAGCCTGACAGACATTTAAGGTACACTCAATGTATTTTGCTTTTTTCCTTCTTAAATAACTACAGTTATGAATACGCTTTTACTGTCCAGCCTGCAGAGACTGCTCCTTTGAACCCATACAAATTCCCTACTAAACCTGGTATTGTTTATATATGTACAGTTTGTTCACATTTATCAGTACAACCCTTAGTATTACTTATGCAATTGCTTTCCCATGATTTGGGTCTATCTAAAAAAAAAAACTCCACAAGCTCAAATAATTACCTTTTAAATAACTACCTAAACACCTTCCTGTTCTAGTCTCTTCAAATTTAAATCTCTTAATAAGTCTTAGATCAGGCTTACCTTTGGATCTCCAAGTCGTTCTAGATATTTCTCAAACGAGCCTTCCACATACTTTTAACAAAAGAAAGAAGAAAACAGATATAAAGACTTAGGCAGTTAGAAAGCAAAGTTAAAATTAAACCTAAACACTACTTAACAGCTAGCAGCTGTTGATTTGGAGGGGGAAAAGCATGTAGAACATAAGAATGATCTGAGGTATCCAAATGAGAATACCCAGAGATCCTAAAAAATATTAAGGATATAAGTGTAAGTAACATTCAAGTTCCTCCTTGATTAGATGAAGCACTTTAATGTGATTACTGGGAAGACAAAGAAAAACCCCAAAACACATCACTACCCTACGAACCCACACTGCATACACTCTAACTGCCACAGACAAAAACAACCAAAAACCACACCTCAAAGCTCAGTGACTTTATGTAATTATTCCAGCATTTCCCAGCATCTTTTGATATTGATTTATTGCTCCAAAAATCTACACATTTCCCACCTACTAAATTCTGCAATGGTGACTCCACAGAGAATATACTACACAAATAACTCACTACACTCACTACTGAGGTTTTAGTAACTTCTTTTCAGGAACTTCAGAACCGAAGTCAAATAAAACTGAGGCAACTGCAACTCAACATAAGGAAGCAGTCAGCCCGTCATTGCTCCTGTCTTTCAAACACGACAAACCATCGTGCTGTCCGTGCTAAACCAGCGACCCCCTCCCACAGCATTTCCCAACCACACGTTGGTGGGGTTTTACACGGAACACCCAGCACTTACGGATTCAAACCTCGATTGGTGCTGCCTCATAAACGAGACGCAAGCTTTCCTAACTTCTGCGTGATGAATTTGAGATGTGAACAGCTGGAAAAATAACGGTAATAGGGGAGAAAACGTCAAGAGTTTATCTTAGATTTCGCGTTAGGCACGAGTTCTCCGGACTAACGCCGCCACAAGAGGAGGCAGCGCAGAGCCGGGGCACCTGAGGACACCTGGAGCTGAGGGGAGCCCAAGCGCCCGGAGCCGGTCGCACCCATCCCCACAGGCATTTCCACACATCCCCATAGACATCCCCACAGCCATTCCCACCCATCCCCACCTCGCTCTGGGCACCCGGGCGGGTCTCCAGGAGCCCCCGGCCCGCCCCGGGCCTGAGGCCGCCGGCTGCCCCCGGCCCGGCCGGCTGCGCACCTGCTCCGACACGGCTCGGAAGAGGCAGGAGGCGTCCTTGGCCGTCATCTTGCGGTACAGCCCCAGGCTGCCCAGGTACTCGTCCATGGCCACCTCGCTGAAGGACTTCTGCCCGAAGTACTTCTTGGAGCCTTTGTGCATCTTCCCGGCCGGGGCGGCTGAGGCGAGCGCGGAGACGCGGGCAAGGCGCGAGGCTCCGGGCGCGCGGCCGCCGCTAATGAGGCGCCGCTAATGAGGCAGCGCGCCCACCTGCGAGAGCGCCCGGCCCGGCCCGGCCCGGCCCGAGCCGGCCCGGCCCCTCGCATCCCGCCGCGGCCACTCGAGCTTCTTCCAGGCCGGTTTTTGGGGTGCCCGGCGCCAGGCGGGCGTGCGCATCCCGAGCCGCGGGCGGCGGCTCCTCCTGCACCTGCCTTGGCTAAGCTCGCCCCTTCAGCTTCATCGCTCGCGGACATCCGCGCAGGGGTTATCCAGAATTCCCCCTGCGCTCCGGGCTGGAGGCGAGTTGCTAGCAGTGGGTTTGAAATAACTCCATAGAAATCATGAAGGGAGGGAAAAGTCTTACTTGCTCCTAATCAAATATTTGGGGCAAACTCTGGGGGATTGGTGAAATTGAGCCTTGCACAACTGTGCGACCTGATTCATTCCACCTGTAGCCCTTTTGTGCTTGATTTGAAGCTTCTATGTACATTTAACTTCCTAATGAAAATTGTACTTAGATGGGCCAATTCAGGAGTTTAATTTTCTCGTTTTAAACAAAAGCAACACAACTCCTCCCCCTCAACCGAACAGTGTCCTGTAGGAAGGGCAATTAGCACCAGTTATGCAGTTCTAAAGTTTGAGAGCATTAGAAGCCTAAGAATATGCATGAACATTTTAAAGTTTAAGACCGCTTTGATTTTCAAAATATTTACATGAAGAAATTGATGTAACACATAATTGTCAAATTTGATACTCTAAATGGGAAGCTCTGATCAGCATCAAAGAATCCCAGAATGGCTTGGGTTTGCAGGGACCCTAAAGGTCATCCCGTTTCAACCCCCCTGCCATGGGCAGGGACAGCTTCTGCTATCCCAGGCTGCTCCAAGCCCCAGCCAGCCTGGCCTCGGACACTCCCAGGGATCCAGGGGCAGCCACAGCTTCTCTGGGAACCTGTGCCAGGGCGTCACCACTTAAACAGGGGAGGATTTCTTCCTTACATATAACCTAAGTAGGAAACACTGGCTGTGCAGAAGTCCAGACTGATGGGTTATAACGGGGTAACACCATGCAAACAAAGGATTGTACTGCCATCCCTGTCCTATGTTGTACTTTGTGGTAAATCACCCAAAGGGCAGCAGTTTGGCAGCATGTTTGCAGCTTGTGACTTTTTTCACCCAGATTCACCACATGCCTTTTTCCCTTTTGAGGCCTAAGTCTCTCACGTTTTAGCCCTCTTTTCAGTGCTTCTGTAAACACATGAAACAAGAGCTGAAGGCATCTGCAGAACATCACAGGAACATCAACAAAGACAATTTATTTCTACCTGTACTTGGCAAAAAAGGTCAAGAGACCACAATGCATTTGCCATGCCTGTAAAGAAGTAGTTTAGCTTGTCCTCATCACTGGAATTACCATCCCAGTGCAGCTTTTATGATATAAATATGTCTGTCTACGCAACTACACAGCTCATATTCCCTCCTTATTGACATTGTACTCTTGTGCATAAAACTGAATGAGTTGGGCACTAAATTGGAAGCCACTTAGTATCAGTTAATAGTAAATGATATTTTCTTTGTGTGTTTGGCCCAGTTGCCAGATCTTAAGTGTAGGAGATGAGACATTTTATTCCAACTTTTTTATTTCTCCACTCTGTTTATTGTAACCCCAAAACTTTATCCAAAAATGAAGCAAACTTTTCTGGCTGTCCAGGAGGAAAAGGTTTCAAAGCTGACAAGTCCATCGACTCCAGCGTCTCCACAAGAGTGCTGTAAAAACAGACCAAAAGCAAAAATTAAAGAAGAAAGAGCTATCCCATAGGAAATTATTTAATACAGTTTTCTTTCTATGTATCCATATGGAATTCTTTAGCATGGAAATATTAAATAAGGGTATGTATGGAAAGGAAGAGAATGCACAGGGCAGCAGGCCTCAGGCAGGACTGGCTCATAGGGAGCATTGCTGAAAACACACTTCCATCAGTTTTCAGAGACAAACTCAACTTTTAAATGTTTTAATCTTCTGTGGTTGCAATGCTGGGCGACTGTACAAGATCTGAGGCTCTGCTCCATAAACCACAGGAGGAAATCCATCTTATCTGAACACATGGCAGAGTTCTGCCCTGATCACAGAGCCAGAAAGAACAGCTACATCAATCTGTTACTTGCTATTATCAGACTGCAAATAAGGCTCAAATGCTTGGCACTGCCCAACACAAAGAAATAAAAATCCCAAAGCTGACAGGAGCACCAAGATAATGAGTTTAAGAAACGTGCTCAATTTCAATGAATGCCAGGCCTGGTCTGTTCAGAAAGCTCTTCTGAAACATACAAAACTCCGCTTGCAGGCAAAGGAACAAGACTAAGTTATGGGAGTTACGTTTTTTCTGCCTTCATTTTAAAAGTCATCTTTTATTTTTAGACTGGAGTCAACCACAAGCAAAGAGAAAACAGTAAGACACAGTCAAAACCAGGAGAAGAAATAAACCCAACAGGAGTCAGGATGAAGTCTAAAAAGAGGAGCTAGGGATTTTGGTGATGGTGGATTTTTTTATGTGTTGTTTCTTTGTGGGGTGGGGTTTTTTTGGTGTGTTTTTTGGTTGGTTGGTTTGGGTTTTTCTCCTGAAGTGACAGGCAATAGATCTGTGAAACTCCCTTGTCAGAGGGTATGGTGGATCCAGAAAGTTTCGTTAAAAGGGCAGCCTGAATAAGTACTTGAAAAATAAGGGTACTTAAAATTTCTAACCAGATACTATCTGATCTATTTATCCCCTGAATCCAAGTGTTTTTCTTTTTTTAATCTACCTCATGTTACCTCAAATGGAAAAAAAAATAATTAGAAGAGTTCATGGTCAAAAGGCTTGCTAAGTGTGGTTAATTACTACCTAGTGTTAGTCTATTCACTCTGCAAAATCTAATATCCAGATGGAGATTACAGAGAAGGATGTACACTTCCTTGTTACATTCTCAGTTTTGCAGTCACGAGGACTGAATGTTCTTGCCCAGTGGGAACAGCTGCAGCAGCTCCGTACCTGCAGTCACAGTACAGGACATAGCCATCTCTGTGCAGCTGTTTGGCCAGCTCAAGCTGATGGTTGTCCATCAGCTTGTCATTTATTACTACTATTAGTGGCTTTCCTTTCTCTAGAGTCTCCAGGCAGCTACCAGCACCTACGAGAGAAACAGAAAACATGATGAGAGGTGAAATACCCCCCTACTTGCTGCTGAAACAGGTTGAGAGATGAAATACCCCCCCCCCACTTGCTGTTAAAACAGGGTGAGAGATGAAATACCCCCTTACTTGCTGTTAAAACATGGTGAGAGGTGAAATACCCCCTTACTTGCTGCTGAAACAGGGTGAGAGGCGAAATACCCCCCTACTTGCTGTTAAAATTCTCCAACAGCCCAGCTCTAGCTGCGGAGCTCAGCACTCCCAAGCAGCCCACCCTTGGGCCGGACAGACTTCATGCCCACCGTCCCGCAGCCCCAGGAAGCAGCCGGGCTGTACCTGCGTGGCTGATAACCAGGTCTGCGCTCCGCAGGTCCTCATCCAGCGAGTCCTTGAAGCGGAACGCTTCCACGGCCAGGGCCGAGCTGCGGCTGGGCTGCGGCAGCGAGCCCCGGCCCACCTGCAGCACCAGCTTCTGGTACCCGCGGCTCTGCAGCGCCTGCGGGAGAACGGAGCGGATAGCGCGGGGACAACGGCGGTGGGATGATGGGGAGATGGGGAAGAGGGGGATGACTGAGGGGATGACGGAGGTGGAGGAAGGGGAGGAGGCGGGCATAGAGAGGGTGTGTGAGGGGTGTACCCAGCTCCCGACTACCCCGGCCCGGCTGCCGCTGGCCCGTCCCCGTCCTTCCCCTTCCTCCACCAACACTCCACAATCGTCCCCCGGGTACCCCGAACCACTCCGGGCCCCTCAGGCACCCGGGCCGGCCGCGGCAGGCAGGGCGGGCAGCTCGTGGCGCGCAGGCGCCAGCCCCGGAGGGCAGGCCCGGCCCAGCCCGGGGCCGGTGTCGGTGTCGGTGTCTCGGCCGGCTGACCTGCAGCGCGGGCGGGGAGCGGGCGGTGGCGATCAGCTCCTCGAAGCTGGTGGTGCCCACGGTGACGAACACGGACTTCATGGCGGCCGGGCCGGGCCGGGCCGGGCCGGGCCGGGGCCGCCAGGGGGCGCCGCGCGCCCGCGCACAGCTCCCGAAATGGCGGCCGGGCTGAGGGGAGGGACGGGGCGGGCGGGAACGCCCCCTGCCCTCACGGGCCCGGCCCTCCCTGGCCCACCCTGTCCCTCCGTGTCCATTCCATTTCCCATTCCATTTCCCATTCCATGACTTCTCTTCGCGTGTTTTCCCCGCCCGTTTCGGGAGGCTGGTGTCTCTGCGCTGTGTGATCTTCCCACACGGTGCCACACCAGCAGCGATGGTGGCCGCTCTAACCCGGAGCCCACTGTCCGGCAGCGTTTAGAGGCTGTTTCAGGTTTTTAGATTTTCAAGAAGAGGTAAAAAATAAAATTGGAAAAGGGATTTGGAAAGTTTTGGTGTCCATGTGTTATTTCAGCACTGGGGACCGACATAACTCATGGACAGCCTGTCTGGGTGTGTTCAGAACTGCCAGAGCAGGCCCACAGAATGATGCTGGCCCAAGCCTCCCACAACACTTACTGATGGAATAACACTTCAACCTCTAGTCCAAAATTATGAATATTAAATGTGTTAACACACTTATGAATATTACATTTGTTAAATGTGTTCACTGAAGAGTAAGAGTCACCCCTGAACAGTTGCACAAACCGAGGTGGCAGTTTTGTTTCTTAATAGTAAATGTAACACATTGCATAATTTGCTACAAAGATAAACCAAAATTAGACAGCTAAATCTGTTTATTCCCTGAATTAAATTCAACAGATGAGGTCACAACTGTATACACAGTTGTGTATACAGGGTGTTCGA